CCCATCAGTTTTTTTTTTTTTTTTTCCAAGGGAGAAGATTATGAAAACATATTGGGTTAATTTGTTAAACAGACTGTTCTTAAGTTTCATTAGTGAAATGTTCTCAAGGATAGACAGAGTTTACACTAACATATTCAAGTGCACAGTCCGTCTCCCTGCCAGCTTTCCTTAGAGGAGGCGGAACGTACCTTGCTGTATAACTGTCTCCCCAGCAATGTGCATGACAGGGAACATGGCATCAAATATGTCGCTGCAAAATAAAACACACAAGATTAGGGGCTGCAGGTGGCACCCAGTGATGTGAAGTCTGTCTCCCTTCACTTGTCACAAAAACGAGCTAAGCACTGCTGACTTACTGTCATTGACCCGATTCAGTCACAGGAAAATCCACATAAAACAAGGCCCAGTTACAGGACTGCAGGCAGTAGGGTACTACTGCATGATACTCGGGCCACAGGGGAGGCCCGGGATTGGACCCTGGGTGGACCTGAACATGCCGGCTGCACGGGTGCACCTGTGATCCTGGTGACTAGTAGGCTGGGGGAGGAGAGTAGAGGACAAAAATCTTTCATATCCCTGATATGCAGAGATGATCATCACAGCACCAAACTTCCAGATCCACATCTGTGCGTAAACCCGGCTGGCTGCTTTGGCTTTTACAAAAATAGGATCACACTACACACACTGTTCTGGACTCCACTTAAAAAAAAAAGGCAACAATAGCTCATGAGCATCTCTCATGTTAGCAAATGTAGTTTTACTAGAGCACAATGATCAATCTTGACGTGTTTTCTAGAAATACATTTCTTTTAGAGGAAACAACCAAAGGAGTGTCCCGGGATCCTCGATCTGGAAATGAGACCTCTACATTAAAAACACAGACCATTTATGATGTGCGACTTGACAAGCCACCACAGCCAGCAAGGCTGACACCCGGGGGCCGTGCCAGCTGGGCGGCCTGGCCATTTCATTTTCTAAATTTAGATATGAAATGGACCATGCAAACAGGATGCCAAGAGGAGTGAGGAGGAAAAGTATGTAGGAAAAATGAGGAAGCACCTGTTGGCCGCAGGAAGGAGAGATGCACCTGTCCCCACACCCTCACCTCACTGGGGTATAACCAGAATGCACTGTCAGAGACGTCAGCATCACACTCCTGAAATACAGTAACTGTCTTCAGAGACTGAGCCCACCACGGGTACCTGGCGCTCCCAAAGGAGAAACTGTAAAACCAACCCAGCACGGAAGCAAACGACACAGGTGCCACAGACATACCCCTTCCCAGGTAGGAAGGTGCACACACTGTGAAATGCCAAGGGTGGCTTCCTTCCTGCCTGGCCATTTTAAAAGGAGGTTCTTAGAAACTGTTGCCGAACTGGCAAAGTTCAGGCCAGCATGACCAGAACTCAGAGGTGCTCACTGACTCCTAGGGTGTGTTAAGGCACTCGGAAGCAAGAATAAAAGATCCAGGGGGCCAGCAGGTGGTGTGGCGGTTAAGGTAGCTGGACTCTTACATGGCCAACATAGTTCAAGTCCTGGCGGCTTGAAAATCATGCCTGGCACATATGCGTGCGTGCCCCAAAATCCCAGGAGAATGGAGAAGGGATTGCAGTATGCCCATGCCCCCTGGGAAATGATTTCTTGTTTTCCCTCTTATGACTTTCTCTGATAGGCACATGCATCCGAAGGCAAAAATCTTTAAAGAAAAAAAAAAAAATCAAAGCCCTAGACAGTCTTGTGCCCTCCAGTTGATGTAATTCTTACCAGAGCGGTTATTTTCAGTTTAGGAAATGCTTCTTTGACCTCTGGGCTCCAGCTTCACTAACAACTCAGTGTTCTGTTCTTTGTTCTCTCTGGGAGAAGGAGGGCAGCACCCACGAGGGGCCGGAGGGTGACAGGGGGTGGAGGAGGTCTTGGGACCCTCCCTAACCTTCCTCTGGGTCCAAGCCTAACCCCAGGCATCTGGTCCCCTGGCAGAGATGTTTCTTGGCCACAGCATCCCCAGTGGAGCATCTGTAAGAACCATCCCGCACTTTATTAAACTGCATTTCTTCAAAACCACAAATGCAGGGCTCTCCGAATAAACAGATCTTTAAGAAATGATTTTTCAATTTCTTCCTCAATTTTTTTTAAGTTTCACCTCACAATGATCAAATATTCTCAAAAATGCCATAAATAATCAAACAGGCACCACATCCCCACCACCACCCGCCTCAGGAAGATACTGATACCCTATTTGCTTCAGATCATTCTCTTCTGGAAAGCTATGACCCCAGCCCTCCCAGTCCAGGGGATGGTGGGAAGTCAGTCCCATGCCCGGGTACGTCCACGTGGCCACTTCACACGTGTGCCTCCCTGAAGAAGGCTAGCTATCATCCGGCATCTTTATCACCGGCATGAAGGCACCCTTCTGCAGCCTTTCTTCCTCTCGCGTCTGTTTTCCGGAATCCAGCTTGGTGAAAACACAAACTTGGTGTGTTCCTATAGCAACTGCTGGTGTTCTTTGTGGGAGTACACCTTGGTTCGTTCACTTCTGCCCAGAAGGATGTTCTGGATATTTCCACATTTTTGCAGTCACAAACCAGACCACAGCAGACCTCCCCAAGAAAAGGGAGGCAGGGAAATACAGCACAGCTCCCATTAACATGGGACTCACGTCCCACTGTGTGCTTGTACTTGGGCAAAAGGTCAGTCGAAAGCTTTTTTTTTTTTTGGAAAGGTTTTCGCTATAGGGCACGTGTGCTTGCCAGAAAGATAGACATCGAGAGAGAGAAAGATAGAAAGCAAGAAATCACTCCCCGTGGGGGATGGCCATGCCGCAATCCCTTCTCTATTCTTCTCTCGGGATCTTGGGCACGCATGCACATGAGCCCGGTGTGAGTTTAAGCCACCGGGTCTGGGACTTGAACCACGGTCGACTATGTGGGAGTCCAGTGACATAACCATTACGCCAACTGCTGGTCCCAGTTGCAACCTTTTTAAAAGAGAGTTCAATTTCCAAATTAGGAGGTCAAGTCCCTGGTTTTGATCAAAGCAGACTTTTGCCTATGCCCAGGATGTCCGTCCTGCCAGGTCTGGCCTCCATTGACCACACATGTACCTCTCAACTCCTAAGGTGTGTGACCAGCAGAGAAAACAGAAGAGGCAAAGAATCCCATCTCTGTGAAGAGTGAAGTGCGGAGAGCCCTGCCTCTTTTACCAAAAAGGTCTGGGAACCCCACTTTCCTTCTACAGAAACAACACTTCCAATATCCCTTGATTCCAATACCCCAATATGGAACTCACAAGATTGTCCCAAGGCAATGAACTCACAGACTCTGGTGAGCTCTGCTCCCCCCACTGGCTCACCCTCCTTCTCCATCTTCTCCATCCTTTCAAACAAAACCCAATCCCTTCCTCTCTCTTAGCACTTAATAGCATTAAAAGACACTGGCCTCCTCTGCCTGTAAAAGGAAAATCAGTTTTCTCTGCAATCTGGAAGTCACTCCTGAAAGGTTTAACTGAAGCTGCTGGTACAGATCTTAAACAGCTCCACATGTGGGCCCTCCCCTAGCCCTCTCCACAAACACTGGTTTAGCACTTAAGCCTCAGGGACTATGCTAGGTTCTCAGGACATAGAACGCTCTCTAGCACTCGAGCCTGGTAAGAAAAACAAAACCACAAACGCATCACAGCTGCCATGTCCTGCAGTCACCAAGGCCCTGCCTCCATCTCTTGCTCACTCACCCCTGGGAGGCTAGAGAGAAAAGGACAAGTGAGTGGGAGAATGGCTGGCAGAGTGGATGGAGAGATGCCACAGCCTCCTACGGGCTGTCGTGCGGCAAAGGACAAAAGGCTAGAGTGCCTACCCTGACACCATGGCTTCCACACTGAGACGCTTACTTTAACCACGGACGAACAGACATTACGTACGCATGGTGACATTCACTGATGCACTCTTTACATTAACAACCGCAACAATAAAAAACCTAAATATACAAAATAGAGAATTAGTCAGTAAACCATAGTCCTTCTAAATGGTATGCCACCGTGTGGTGGTGATGTATGGGCCAGCCTGTAGTGTGGTGGTTAAGGTGGCTGGATCCCACATAGCCAACTGCACAGTTCGAGTCTTAGACCTGGCCTCTTGAAAAATACCCGGGCACATGTGTGTATAGGCCCAAAATCCTGAAAGGAAGGAGGAATGGAGGACAAGGGATTGCAGCGTGATCATTCCCCACAGAGGGGGTTTTTTCACTTCCTCTCTCTCTCTCTCTCTCTCACTCTCTCTCGCGTGCGTGTGCACACGCTCTTACATGCACCCTCTGGAAAATTTTTTTTAAAAAGTGATATAAGGGGCCTAATGGTGAAGCAGCAGTAAAACATGACACTGTGAGGCTGACCCAGATGGAAAAGTTTGGGTCCATGGCTGGAGGCCTCCCTGAATACACTGGACATGTGTGTGCCCATGGTCCCAGCTAGCAAAGGCTGGGGGTGCACTGCAGGGGTGCTGGATTCCTATCAGGGGTGCTGTAGCTTCTCTACGTCTCTCTCACTATGGAATAAATAAGTAAACTTTTAAGAAACAGTGATGTGGGACCACAGATGGAGTAATGGTTATGTCACTGGACTCTCACAAAGCAACCGCAGTTCGAGTCCCGGACCCAGCAGCTTAAAACTCATGCCTGGCATGTGTACATGTGAGTTCAAAATCCCAAGAGAAGACTGAAGGAGAAGGGAATACAATGTGGCCATCCCCCCTGGGGGATAATTTCTTATTTTCTGTCTCTCTGTCTCTCCAGCAAGCACACACATCCCTAGGGCAAAAATCCCTCTCTAAAAATCAAAATAAAACAAAATGATGTACAATAGATACATAAAATAAGAAGGATGTTTACAATTCTGTCAGTGACAAAAAGGGGTTGACAAAACAGTGCAATCTGGAAAAAAAATAAGAAAGCCATGAAACAGAGGTGATACACAATAATGGTAACAGCAACTGCCTTGGGGTGGAAAGGGGACGGGGGCTGAGTCATCGTAACATGTCTTTCTGCTTGCTCGTCTGTTGAGTTGCTTACATTTTAAATTATTCTACAATTATTTATCCGTGTATTTTTTTCTTTAAATGAGGCAGTTTATCACTGGGGAAAGATCACATTATCCTTAAGTACAGACCTCAGACTTAACACTGATAAAACATCTGAAAAAGGTGAGATCTAGACTTTAAGACATGCTCTCCCAAGTGTGGTATAGATCCAAACCCGTAAC